AAAAATTCTAATATTTTCATTTGTATCATTATGTGGTTACCGACAAAAAACAAAAAATAAAACTACATATGCTTTTACTACCTGTTTGATCAATATCACCATCAGATCCTAATATAATGATACAAGACAATAGAATTTTCCTTTTTTTTGTTTTGTTTTTTTATGATTATTTGTATATTTAAAGGATATCTTTTCTTATTTTTAATCATTTTATACCTGGAAGTTTAGTGGTTGTACCCGGTGCTGGTGCACGAAGTCCTCTTTGTTTTGTTGGTACAGCACTTGTTTTTGTAATTGTTGAAGTTGATGGTGGTGGAATACTTCCTGTACTACCTTCAGATTTTATTGAATGATTTGAAGATGATCGAGTTAGATTGGATTGGAAATCAATAATTACAGATTCAATTTGTCCAGGTCGTACATATAGACCATGATTATCATTACATGTAAAATATCGTACAAGTGTTCCATCTAAAAGAATATTCATATGTAGAAATCACATAGAATATTACCATTACCTTTCTTTTGTACAGTTCCATTATTTTTTCCTTTTGGTTCATCAAGAATAACGCCAATCCATTCACCTATAAAAATTTCGCATAGAAATTCAAAGAACAAAAACGAAATTTAATTACCATAAGCAAATTCTGTTTTTCCAATAAATGCAATAGTTCCTACACCCTTGCCAGCAATGGATACTCGTTGATCGAGATGATACAACGTTGTTGAAGCCATTTTTTTTAAAGAATAAACATAGATAAATGATAACTGACGTCGAATATCGATTAGTACTATTTATAATAATTGCTGCATCTAATTATCCAATCAAATCGTCTACAGCTGCTACTAAGGATCAATTTTCAGCTGTAGATAAAAATAAACCAAAATCGAGAGACTTCGAATAGATATTAAACTATTTTAATTAAATTAAATTCTGTACAGATATAAATGACAGATGTCGTTGATAATCATCATTCTATCAAAAGATCGTATTTCAACATTTATAGTCGATCAATTAAAATAAATGTTTTGTTATTTAGAAAAATGGGAAAGGAATAACGAAATGTTTTTACAAGTGGATTAATGAAATAATCTGAAACGTAAAGCAGTGAAAAAGTTTAACAACAACATATTTTTAATGCTTTTGATCTGTAATATTAAGCATCTAACTGAAATTCAGATAGATGATGGCAAGGTTTAAAAAAAGTCGAACACGGCTCCATCTTAAAAAGCACAGAATTCTACACA